ATGCTCCTTTTTCTCCTAGCTCAACAGCATCATGCCATGTAAAGAAAAAACACAAGCACGACACTAAAATCGTTTTCAGTCACTAATTATTCAAGAGCACTGTTCCGTTCGGCTCTGATCGAACTGAATCTAACTCTGGCAGATCTCGGCTCTCGTTCAGCTCCCAACCGTATGAACGCATTGTAGATAATCTCCTGTTAATCCGTGGGAGGAGCAGTAGTTCTGCTCCGATAGAATGCTGCCGTGTGAACATAGCAAATGCTACAATGTACCTGTAATCTACAAGATTAGATGCAGCTCATCAACATAAAAGTGTGAACAGTCAACCTTGTTGTTGTTGTGGTAGCTATCATATATGATATAGTGTATCTGGAAGACATACCTGTCTTCAGAAATTTAACATACCCTGGTATTCAGATTAGCACCATTCTATTTACCAACCAATCAGCATCACCTACTGACTAGAGGTGAAATCTTCGCAGTAAATTTAGATGCAAGGGTTAACCAGGCTAGAACAAAACTGGCAGTGTTGTTTTTTTTTTTCCCAAAGTCCAGCATTTCACCACTGCTAGTTTTGCTTATTATCCAAATTTTTAAGAAAAGACATCACAAATGTTGACCAAGCCTAAATTTTGTAAAACTGACTTTGACATTATAATACACAAGATACAGCTGAAACTTGTGCATATGTGAAAAACACACCAGTATCAGTCCTCCAATCATAACTCAAAGTTATGTATATACCAACCTTAATGGCAGCCATAGTGTCATGCTCATGGTTTCGTATTTTTTTCCATTCAGTGACATCATCTGTAAACATCATCAATGTTTTTTTTAATTCATCAGCTGAAATAACTGATATTTCATCTCTTTGAGAGATAAAAAAGAGAGAAATAATTAGAGCAATTCCTATGATAGATTCCTGTATGGTATCCATGTGATGTTAAAAAATTCTCAATGCAGCATTGCATTCAACATATCACTTTACACTAATAAACAGGTGATATTACTTCAATTAGGTGTAGATGCCTGCCCTTAAAGGCCTTCATGAGATGCCATCGACAGAAACTAATTTTTATTGTGTGCATTTTGGATTTTTTGTTTGTTTTTCATGAAAATTAAAATCCAGTAGTTGATATGTAGCTAAAACCTTATATATAGAAAATGAGTGATCAAAAGGCAACCAAAGATTGATATTCTCAACTTTTATTTTCTCTAAATTCACAGGGCTTCACACTATATACTAGTACATAAATATACAAATAACATATGAAGTGATAATCTGAGTTTTCTTACACTACATCATGTTCTGCTTCATTGATATCTATTTCCATATCTGTCTCGTCATCATCTTCAGAGACCTCAGTTTCAGTCCTTGCAGGTTCTATGATAATACAGTGACTGTTACCTTCACTTCCTTTTTTTATGCTATCTTCAATAACCTGTTCAAGGAAAACAGACAAATTAGCATTTTTGCATTTGAATAGTGGCTCATTAACATCACAATACTTCTATGGTTTTCATGAATGTTCAAGCATGGTAATACTACTGTGCTTAGACCCATATTATTTCTATATATTTAACATATAACAGGTCATTGACAAACCCTCCAATGTAGCATTATGCTCTATCAGTTTTAACACTAAACAGTATACCAAGTTTGAGAGAAATTAGACTATAGATAGAATGGCAAAAATGGTTTATTTTGATGATTTTAAATCTGATATCAAGGTCAAATAATGCAACAGTGGAAGCACGAATTCAGGGTGGAATTATAAATCCCACTTATGAATGAAACCATGTTAATCACTGTTATGCAACACTCAGGCTACACCAAGTATGGACCAAGATTTAAGCAAATCTTGTATGTTATTCTGTAATTACATAGCAAATCTCTATGACAACATAAATAGCGTTTAACAACAGCTCCTTAGTACGGGGCTAAGAGGTAAAATACCCTAGCCACTGCTAACCGCTGTTTCTTTCCACGCATCAACGCAATTTCTATCAGATATGCAAACATATCAGATTAGTCTGAGCCTAAATCTTAACCCGTACTTTGAGTGGCATTATCAAAATGGTGTATAAAATCATTCTGGAGTTCTCGTAACTAATTTGAGTCGTGGATGGGCGTGGTTTATTTCAAGCCAACCTAAATATTTAGGTTTTTACATAATGTCTTAAAATGTGAAGAGATGAGTGAATTCTTTATATGCACAGGAAAATACACTGCCAACTTGAAGGGAGGAGGTTGTTTTGAATGGAGTGAAATTAAATTGAACAATTTGTGATTGAAACCAAACACTTTAAATTAGATATTCAAACAACTGAATGCTAAAACATGGTCTGATGTTTTCAAGTTCAGAATTGACAGATGTACAGAAAAGAAAAAAATAGCCACTTAACTTACCTGTAAAAGATATGGCTTTTTGAATGTTCTGTGTATTTTTTCTAGGAACTTAACACTCTCTTGGTGAAACTTTTCAAAACTATTGTCTCTTATGTATTTTCGCCTTTCCCTCTTTGATTTATATTTCAATATTTTCAATATTTCTTCTTTCATTTGCTGTGAGACAAATAAAAAATATAATCTTGTATTCTTTGTATTTTCATTTTCAAATCCGCATAGATTGTCACACAACAATTTATGTTGTGAAGCGAGTTAAAGTTTTCGAAGAATGGTCAATTGTTTTTCAGTAAAAGTTGATACCTTGTGCTGCACAGATTCCAATGCTCCTGCTTGATCAAAGACCCTATGGTAAACATCTTCTGCATTGTCCAAATCAGTCTTTTCACAACAGACTAAAACAGCCTGAAAAGAGTTAAAGAAGTTATTAGTTACTGAAAGGAAAAACATGCACTGTACCATTTACTTCTCTATTAAATAAATATATGACAAATATACATTTTTTTCTTGTTTTTGAAGAAAATAGACATTTTGTAAAAGCTTTTATTTTTACTGACATTTAATTTCACTATTTTGATGTTTTGAACATATTCACTGTGTTTTAATTTCATGAATTTGTCAAGGAAACAATGAGTTTTATTGTTTTACATGTTCATATAGATTTAATTTAGTGGATTTTACTTTTCAGCGAAAATAGCGAAATTAAATCAGAGTGAATAATTAATGCAATTCAGGGTTTGCACTAGTGTCTCGGCAAGACGAGTCCCACTTACAAAATTTTAAGAATTTGAAATTTGACCCTGGATAACTTTATTAGAGATTGGAGTATTCAAATCTGTCAGGTGTTATGCATTATTAACATAACGTAGTCCTCCAGAAAAATTCAGTTACCTGTTTTTTAATCAGTGCTTTGTATCTTTCACCCTCTTCGTCAAGATTTTCAAAACATGACAAGAGCTCTTCCAAAACAGTGATGGCAGTTTCCAGCGGTGTTCCTTCATTTCTACCAATGTATTTGATATTAGGATCACTACCATCCACTAAGCGAGAAAGAAGATGAAGGAACTTCACTTTTTGAAAGTGGTCATCCACTGTTTTATCCGTGGGTAGGACAGCTCGGATAACACCTATCAGAAAGAGATGAATAGCGATAGAAAGTCAGTGACAGATTACGAGGAAAAATGTAACCATCATGTACCAATGCTGCCATGCTTTTGTTTAAGTGATAGACACTTTTTTGGAAATTGCTTTTAGTGCAGTTGTGAAGAACAAGAATTGTCACGTTCACACTGTTGTCAGGAATATATAATGTTATTATCAATCTTTATTGAAGAAAACACAGAATTGCAAGCTGTATAGTATTATCTCAATTAGGACAGAGAATCTTAAAGTGAGAAATTTGAGAAGTGGAAAAGAGTTCCTTTAAGGCCCCCACCCCTAACACTCCAGCAGAGCTAAGTCAGTAGCCCTGAGTATAGTCCTGTAGGTTGGCTTCCTTCAGCTGAATGATCAGCGGAAGAAGGCTAACCTACAGGACTGTACTCAGGGCTACTAAGTCAGCAAACCAGTATAACTTTATTGGCCACAACCTTCCATTTCTGGAGGTATGAGTAAAAAAACATACAGAAAATTACACATCAACAAAGTATTCTCTAAGATTGTACATTTGATATAAAGGTGTGATCCAACCGAGTGAGCAATATCAGATGGAGGATCCATGATAAAGTAGAATTTATGAGTGTGTTCAACATACTAAATGTGGAATAAAAGGAGACAATTGTGTTGAAGAATTTATCCCTTGTCGAGTTGAGTTTGGTACACTCAGTGACAAAATGGTATTCAGATTCCACCCTATGGTTTGTACAAAATTGACATGTACAAAAACATACAGGGGAGATAGACGGACTATGCCTAATTTTATCAATGTTCAGGTTATGAGCACTAATGCGTAGTTTAGTAAGAATTGCCCTGTGGGATGGGTTTTCAATAGCATTAAGATATTCACTAGG